GAGTACCTCACCTTGTCATGGTACTGGTGCCCAACGTGACACGTGTACCTATCAATGTTGAACGGATTCTAGCTTCCTTTTGGGGTCGAACTTGAGCGCAACGTTATCGGGCCTTAGGTCACAATGCACAATGTTCTTACTGTGGAGCTCCTGCAGGCACTTAGTCACGCGCAGACCCAGGGTCATGGTGAAAAGTAGGGATGGCTCACTCTCAGAACTGTTTAAATAGTTGAAAGGGTTTTCCGTCCCACAAAACGTCATCAGGAGGGCAGGGAGAGTAGAACCCAAGTCCAATGGAATAGAAGCGCCCCCTGCACCCCTTAACAACTCTTGAAGGAAGTCGCATACTACGGGCGGAATCAGGCTTGACGACACACTCCCGTCCTTCGTAGACAACGGAATACACTGCCATAGGACCCCTCTCCCAGGACCTTCGCGATGGGATTCTTAAGCAGGAACTTAACCGCACTTCTCGACAACGCAGGGACGGCTATTGTTACTCGCTTGCTTACGCTTGCAAAACTAAGTAAATGTGTATTAACTCTAGGTATAGAGGCTATGGGTTTAAAAGCGGCCTTTTGTGTGAGGTGTGTGAATATGGAGCGTATGTGTGTGCGTGTGTAGCAGATGAGCGCCGTGAGCGTGAGTGTGTGTGTGTGGAGTGTGTGTGTTTCGTGTGTGGTGTATGTGTATGTGTGTGTGCTGTGTATGTGAGCTGTGTGTATGTGAGTGCATGAGTATACAAGTGTATCTGTGTGTATGTGAGTGTGTGCATGTGTGTGCATGCGCGTGTTTATGTGTGTGAGAGAGTATGTGTGCATGCACGTATGTGTGGTATAACGTGTATATTCAGGTATGTGTGCGCACGTGTATATATTTCGTCTCATCTTGTCTTTCACACACACACACAAACTCGTACATATGTGTGTATATATGTACACATATATGCACGTTCGGGGGATGGTCGTGACGCGATCACCCCGCGAAACTATGATATTCGATTAATTTACGCAGCGTTGCTTCCAGCGGGGGCCGGAAATCGTGTGGCCGCGACCCAGTTTGGCCCCTACTCATTGTACTCGGAAAATTCCAAGTTGAGACAAAAATTCTAGCCATGCGGGATAAATTAGCTTTGACCGACAAAACGACCACACACACACCATTGACATGTACACGACAAAAACACATAGCGTTGTAACACAACAGTGCACACACACACACACACACACACACTCACACACACACACACACACACACAAATATATATAATATATATATATTATATATATATATATATATATATATATATATATTATATATATATATATATATATATGTATATATATTATATATATATATAAGGGTATATATATAATGACATATTGGCCTATGAACTGCTAAAGGATGGGTGTGAACCTATGGCACGGTGGGTCATCCCTCGCTGGAATGGGAAAGGGGATCATTGGGACTGAAACGGATCCGCAACCACCTGTTAAGATACCAAAACCGGAGCAATTTGGATTCACTCCTGGCAAGTCCGAAATAGACCGTATCCTAGTGCTTCGAGTCATTGTAGAGCGCCGTCGTGAATTTAGGCGTGGGCTGCTTGCAGCCTACATCGACCTCAAGAAGGCGTTTGATTCGGTGCATCACGAATCGTTATAGGAGATCCTGAGTTTTAGGGGATTTCCGACACGGATTATTGGATTAATAGCAAGGTTATATACTGGTACTGAAAGTATTGTAAAGTGTGGCGGTGGGCTGCCGAGCTTCTTTCCTGTTAACTCCAGAGTGAGGCAAGGCTGCGTGCTTGCACCAACACTTTTCAACACTTGCATGGGCTGGATAATGGGCAGAGATTCTTTTCAAAGTGTGGAGCAACACTGGGCAATATCAGATGTGCAATTCTAGCTGAATCTCTGAAATCTCTGGCAGCGGATCTTGATGCATTTAGCAATGACGCGAAGCCTCTGAGTTTGCTCAAAATCCAGGAACTTAGGGGCCTGTTAGGAGAAGCTGTTCAATCGATACGTGTTTGCGGCAAGGACATTGAAGACACAGAGAGCTTTACATACCTTGGTAGTGCAGTTCATGTCTCTGGGCTGTTAGATCAGGAAGTCAGTAGACGGACTGGTCTGGCGGCAAGAGCCATGAACTCAATCAACAAGAGTATTTGGAGGTGCCGGTACCTATGCAGGACTAAGTTACGTGTCTTTAAGGACTTGATCTTGCCAGTTTTGCTCTAAGGAAGTGAAATCTTGACGCTATCTAGTGCCTGAGAATCACATCTCGATGCCTTTTGTAACAAGTCCCTATGCCGGATCATGGGGTACAATTGGCAGGACATGTGTCCAACCGACGACTCCACCGTGAGACTGGCATGGGACCTGTTACTTGCATAATCCGTGACCGCTAACTCAGGCTATACGTGCATCTAGCTCGTTTCCTTGTGGATGACTCTGCCCATCAGGTTGTCTCTTTACGAGACAATCCTGCGTGGAGGAGGCCTATGGGAAGACCTAGGAAGTCGTGGCCTGGGCAGGTCGACCAGACATGTCGTGTAGCACTAGAGATGGGCCGAGGGCCTACCTGGTGACGCTATGAGGGAGCTCCGTGGCTGGAAGCCATTCTCTCTCTCTCTCTCTGTCTCTCTCTCTCTCTCTCTCTCTCTCTCTCTCTCTCTCTCTCTCTCTCTCTCTCTCTCTCTCTCTCTCTCTCTCTCTCTCTCTCTCTCTCTTTCCCCAAAACACTATAATCACTGAGGTCATTTCTAAACCATTTTGAACTTTTTTGTAACATTTTGAACATTTTGAAAGGATTTGACTTTCATTTATATGCTGATAAATGAGAATATGCCGTTCATATAGAGTATTTTATTTTTGCATAATATTTTGTCAATTTCATCCTTCAGTAAAATGTTTTGAGCATACCCTCCCCCCAAAAAAGTGGGGTTAGATTTGCCAAGTGATCCAGATCACCACCAAAATTTAATGGGATGGAAGTCAACTAAGACACACCTCTGGTGAAAATCTGTCCATAACATTTAGAATTAAAAATACGATCTTTGATCCGAATCATGATTTAGATCACTACCAAAATATAACGGCGGATAAGTTAGGCTAAAACACTCCTCTGGTGAAAATCTCATCAGAATCCGTTCATAACTCTTCCAATTGTCCTGCTAACGAAAAATATAGAATCAACAGACAAACGGAGGTAACAAAACATAAACGCGGAAATATTTATATACTTATATATCATATATACATAGTTTTACACCATCCAGTATTTGTATATCTGCATTTCTCGAGAGTGTTGGTGTGAAAGGTGGGTGTTTCGTTCAGCAGTTACAAGGACAGGAATCCTCGCCTCAAGAACACGTGCACGCAGACCTCCGTCTCGTTTCCCCGCCTGCGAGTGTGACAGTCGCTGGCATGGAGAACGGTGATATTTCAGACCAGCCTATGTTGTAAAACCCCAATAGAGTAATCATGATGGTAAATAGCGCATAATTGCATCATATAGAACTATTTCATATATTTGTCAAGCTAAAAAAGGAGGAAAAAATCCCGATAATTCTATACATTACATATTTACGCGTAGGGCATGCATTTTTAGTCCGATATAAACATACCATTGCTCATGTTATAGTAGAATAGTAGATGTATTGTGTGATGCAATTAGTTTTTGCAGTTTTTTTCGTGCTTCTTATAAAAGTGACATAAATATAAAAAGCTACTTTTATGGTGCTCTAAAAGTAATCTACGAGCGAAATTGAAAAATGTACATACGCCATGCAATAGATGAAAGATTGTTCTATTTAGAAATGAAATCATAATGACTTTTATAAATTAAATTTTTTACTTTATATTTTGATTTTAGAGAAATTTATGCCGAGAAACATCCAAAGCAGTGGGACCCTAACGTAAGATAAGTAGCTTGTGCCATTGTTACGTGTTGGGAATTTCCACAAGACTCCTGAATGCAGGTAGATGATAGGGGGTTATGTTGCATGAAGATTATTCTTCTATCTTTTATTGTTAATACCAAAATAATCATGAAAAGATACGAAAAACGTGAACTACCGCTATTTTGAGAGTATGCTGGTTTACGCACGAAAGCTCTAGCACACGCATTTTCAATCCGAAATAAACGCATTATTAATCATTTTCTATATAAATAAAATATCTCGGGAATGTGGCATAGTTTCTTTTTTTATTTTTTCCTGTGCTTCTTGTAAAAATGACATATATATGAAATAAACAAACTTTTTTGACACCCTGAACTGATGTCATGAGAGGTCAATTAATGGCCAAACTTTTAGCTACAC